ATAAAAAAAAAGGCAAAGTAAAAACCCAGCAAAGCTCTGCCTGTTTCTTAGCCTGCCAAGCCCAAGGAAACACAAATATTCATTTAATTACTCTGTGTCCTTTTGGTAACCACCCATTTCAATAGTTGATCAGCGTGCAGGTTTTGACTATGGGGTTATGAGCTTCAGAGGACTATTGTCCTCATATGTCCCTTTCCCAGAGTGGTTGCGCATCCCTTCAGAGAGCACGTGTGGGATGGGGCAGGTACACTGAACTTCACTGAGTGAACTAAGAAATATTCATTTAATTACTCTGTGTCCTTTTGGTAACCACCCATTTCAATAGTTGATCAGCGTGCAGGTTTTGACTATGGGGTTATGAGCTTCAGAGGACTATTGTCCTCATATGTCCCTTTCCCAGAGTGGTTGCGCATCCCTTCAGAGAGCACGTGTGGGATGGGGCAGGTACACTGAACTTCACTGAGTGAACTAAGAAAGGTGCACCGGCTTTTCCAGACAGGGGGAAGCACAGAATCCCTCTTGCCCAGTGGCTCATGGGGCTTCTAATTTGTAGAGGTCCTCTCTCGGGTTAGAACTAGAGACTTTCTGCTTTGCATTCATCACAGCTGGGTTGTTCCTGGCATCTCAAGGGCGCACCCTGCTGGAAAAGTGCTCTCCTTTGGTAAGAAGCTGGAGGATTGTGCCATCAATAATGAATCTGGTGAGGGTGTGTGGCTCAGTGGTAGGACGCTTACCTAGTGTCTGCGTAGCTCTGGATTTGATAGTCAGCACATCAAAACAAAACAAAACCAAAAAACAGCTGAGTCGGGAGTGGAGAGAGTGAACCTGGACCATTCCCAACAGTTACAGTCCTTTCTGGATTTTGATAAGCCAGGAAGTTGGCCCAAGGGGGTCTGGTAAAGTTTCTGCTCTTTTCTGTTTGACATTTGTAATTCTTAAGCATTAAAGGAATTCTTAGTAGTTACTCTAGTAACCCCCCTTGATCCAGAGGCTCCCATATCAAAACCTCTTAATAGTGGATTGTCTAAGAATAGAGCCCAGAATTTATATGCACTCATCAAATCGTAGTTCTTTCTGGTCACTCAGTGTTTGGGGACAGAGGATAGGGATTCTTTTGAGCTCCCTGGAAAAGTTAAGCCCCAAAGGACCCGGCACTTTTATTTTTAGAGCACTCTCCCCAGATCAAACTTAATATACATATATTAAAATGCACCCTGTAGCCAGTAGCTTTTTTGTTTGCTGTTAAAAACCTTGAAAATTATTTTTAAAAATTTCACCTTTGAAATTATTTGCTTATGAATAATTTAGTTACTCGCTAATTACATGCATTTTAAAGAATTTCTGTGAACTGAAAAAAGCCTAAATTCATAGATGTATAAAATGTTTAGTAATAAAAATAATGTTGTCATGCCTACTGTTGTTGGCATCTGATTATGCATTTACTAATTCTTTTTTTTCATTTTGAGCCTTTCCCTGATCCTGGTTTCTTTATTATTTCCTCCCTTCCTCCTTCTTTCCCTTCCTCCCTCTTTCCCTCCCTCCTTCTCTCCCTCCCTCTTTTCTTTCTTCTTTTCTTCCTTTCCCTCAAACCTTTACAAAATCAGAGTTCTCAGAGCTCAGTGGGTAAAAGCACTTGCTGTAGATCTGAATTTGAATCTACAAAACTCATGTAAAAGCAGGGCTAAATAAATAAATAAATAAATGGAAGGAAGAAAGAAAGAGAAAAAGAAAGCAAGAGAGCAATCATGAGTTTCTGTAATCCCAGCATCTAATGAGGAGATGGGAGGCAGAGACAGAAGACTCCTTAGAAGCTCAAGGGCCAGCTAGTCTGGTGTCCATATTACATAAGAGAAAAAAACCCAAGCCCAAACCAGACCCACCCACCCCCTTAGACAACAACAAAATCCTTGTCTCAAAGTGGAGGGCAAGGACCAAAATGGGATATTGTCCTCTGACCCCCACATGTTGTGTAGCACATATGTGCCAGCATTCACACACACAAATGTGCATACACCCACCCACCCACACACACACACGTAAGTTCACAGGCCTTACGTACTCTGTCATCTACTGGATAACACTGTGCAGCCAATTTTAATCATCTCCTTAGGTAGACAGCCTTACCTTACCCAACTCAAGTCTTAACTCATAGACTAAACTGTACAAAATTGCTAGGCTCTGCTTTGTTTGCAAAATAGAGGCAATTTCACAAGTTTAATCTAATAATTTTTTATATAAATACTGCACCTTTTCTTCCCAGACACATAGAATTAAGTTGGACAGCAAAACCCAGTAAGAGCAGAGTCTGTTCATGTGGTAGGTGTTCAGCATTTGACAAATGAGTGCATGCATGTATAAATGAATAAGCCAATGAAACAACTGCATAAGTAGAGCCAAATTACATGGTACAGACTTGGTAATGGAACTAGTGGACTATATTAATCATACAAAGCAGCCTGGCACTTACTTTAAAGTCTTTTAGAACAACATTCTGCTTTTAATTTAATTTCATTTTATTAGCAAGAGATTGGCATTGCCTGTGGGAAAAAGCAGTCCTGGCGTATTTCACTGCTGGCTGTTCATTAAGGAATTAAAAAAAAATAAATGGAAGCATTATAGGGGTCAAAGAGGGGAAAAAGCATTGTGGACCAAAAAGAGAGAGGTTGGTAGGATTTCCATGAAGCAAGCTGCTTTCTTCTTGGCAGTAAGGATTATCTCTAGCAAAAGATGTTATATTGCAAGGTCTTGGTATTTTTCTTGCTTTTATTTGTCCATGTGATCCCAGATCTCTTTTTGCTTGAAGGAGAGAGAGACTGGCAATCCTAGACAGAGCAAAAGGGTGTTAAGTCTTAATGATAAACAAATAGGACTTCAACTTCCAGATCATGTACCCATGCATGTGTTCTTTTCTCACTCTTTCATATCCTAATGGGCGCACTGTCTAGGTGCTGGGGCTGGAATGATGCTTAAGACACGAGTATTGGGGTGCATTTCCAAACTTGAGGAATGTTGGAATAGTAAAGGGAAGGTGAGCAGGGAACATAAGTAGAGGGCCAGTTACTGGAAAAATGGGAAAGTTTCGTTGGACATGTTAATTGCTTTACATTCAGGATAGTGCTTCTCTATTGTCACTATAGACTTAAATAACCAGTAGAGTAAATGAAGAAAAGAGAAAGAAAGAAGGAAGGAAGGAAGGAGGGAGGGAGGGAGGGAGGGAAGGAAGGAAAGAGGAAAATAAAGAAAGGAAGAAATAAAAACACAAGAAAACGGTAAGAGGGAGGAAGAGAGAAATACAGTAACTACAATCTGCTTTTCCTTTATATTTGTTTAAATATTCTGCTTAAATAATATATAGAGGTAGATGTTGTTAAAATGACACATTAAAGTCTGGTTGTTTATCTTTACCATTCACTCGATGAGCAGCAATATATTTAGGCTATGATATGAAGTATAGAAGCAGATCACAAATTAAGAGCTCATTCATATTAACTAACAATGGAATTCATATTCTTGTCCTTAATAACATCAAAATAAGTTGATCTCACCTTAATACTGTTTTTGCTTACTGATTTCACAGGCAATTCCTTTAAATGAGAATGGGCAGGAACATAAACACTGTCCATCTAGCAGAATCACTGTACCTCCATTTTGACATGGGTGACATTTTTGTACACTGAATTCATCCATATAATCTCCAATGGCTCTTTCCAAGTTTTGTTTCTTTAAGTATGCATCTTTTATTTTCAAAGGAACCAGATTATATATAGGAGACAGCTGCAAGAAAGCAAATTACTCCATCTTACATCTTTTTCTAAGAGGAGCTTGTAAAATACTCTAAAATCATTGTCTCACTCATTCATTAATTCAGCAAACACTTGTTACCTGATATGATGTTAGCTTTCAAGACCATAATAGTGATCAAAATTAGTCAAGATGTCTGCCATCATGAAGGTTCCATTTCAAAATAAAAAAGATGAGAAAGGGCATGTGTTATCAGAAATATCATTAAACAAATTAGAAGCCTAAAGTGGGAGAGGATACTTGTAAAACTTTCAGGAGAGAATAGGCTCACTCCAAGAGCATGTCAAGAACTTCTACCAAGCCAGCACAGCTGTTTACTTATCCTTCATTACATAGAACCTAAGATTTGGATTCCAGTTATGTTCTATTTATTTAGAAGAAAGAAAACTCTTCCTAACACCACATCGCATAGACACACACAGGGTAAACATGTGGTACAGTTATTTTGATTTCTTTTGAGAAGATATTTATCTTGTTTCATCCTTCAAAAGAAAGTCAAGGCCAGATAAGCTAAGATATAGGAATAGAGGGCCATGGAGGAAACAGCTTGGATAAAACTACATAGAGTGTCCAAATAGATAAAGATGAAGGACACACACTAGCAGCAGTTTCAGAGAAGCCTAAACAAGGAGTCAAAGCTACCACAGGCAGAGGAAGGTTAAAATGCACCCCTACAAGTCTTTCTGCTAAGCATACCTTTCTTCTCTTATTAAGGAAGCTGTTTTGAGTTTTTCTCCTATACCTGCTAACTTTCTTGTCTTCCCACCATTTGTAGACATATCTAAAATAAACTATAATCTATCATAAATCTTACTAAAATACCAAGTTTAACATTAAGTCCATTCAAATTTATTGCATATATCCAAAGTCATTACCTGTACCAAATGTGGTTCCTTGATTGAATGAAAATTATTTTTTATCCATACACCAGAGTTAGACTTTCACTTTGTTATTTGGGTACAGCTTATGGAGTACTGGCATACAGACCTTTAAAGATGCTAGTGCTTTTCAATATCCAGTGCAGGTCTGCTAAGAATTACACAATAGAGCAAAACAGTAGGTTTATTTACCACTCATTATAACCTCATAGTATTCCAGAATGATGGAATGTAGATTACTCGCCTATACATATGTAAGAGTTGTTTTGGGAAATGGGAAAAGAAGAGCTGAGAACAGAAAAGGTGAAGTGAGGCAAAAGTGACACTAATTAACAAAATTCAAGTCAGAAGAATCCACCATTTGCACGAGGTGGACCACAAGTTTGATTATATTTTCTAGTTCTTTGAATAAGACAAAACTGAATTTAAAAAATCCCACATATGTAAGAAAATTCACCTGATTTCCAATAGGAACAAAATGAAATTAAAGAGTAACATTTCCCATGAATTCCCATAAAAGGGACATTGTATTATGTAACATCCTTTCAGAAAATGAAGGAGTGAGTTACATAATCTTGTTTCTTATAATGCCAAAAGGAAACCTTACAGGAAGCCGCTATGCTAAATTATAGATATACTATCTTGCTGTTATTATTCTGGAGGAAGCTGGAAGCTTTATATCTCTCTGGCAATCAGCAATAAATGTTGCTTCTCTCAGCTGACATTTTAAAAATTCATTTGTAGCAACAGATATAAGAAAACAACCCCTGAAGTTCAGTTACCCAGGCTGGCCTTGGCATACAGCTCCTCCTACTTCAGCCTCCCAGTCAGCTGAGATTAAGGACCTGAGCTACCACATCTGACTTGAAGTCATAAATATATGTACATATCTGCTAAAGGCTGTGTTTCTATAACCTAAAGGGAGAACTGATTGCAATTTTCAGTCTGAATTCTTTCCTCATATACGTGAGGTAGTGCACTTGACTTCACCTTTTAATGACAATAAAATAGATGGAGGAAATAAAATTCCCCAATAACATATACTATAAAAAAATCAACATTTCTACTGGGCATGGTGGCTCATGCCTTTAATTCCAGCACTCAGGAAGCAGAGGCAGGTGGGTCTCTGTGAGATTGAGGCCAGCCTGGTCTACATAGTGAGTTCCAGGCTAGTTGGGGCTACCGTATCTCAAAAAAAAAAGTCAACATTTCTATGACTTAATCACACTGAGTAGTGAGCAAAGATTAAGCTTGTTTTGAGAGCTGAAACTATGAAGCATGCATGAACAATTGAAAGCTGCAAAAACAAGAAGGAAAACTCTTTCTATATACCAGGGCTAAGGAAACAGTAATGAAGAATATATCCCCTTTCAGTGAGCATGCGGAAAGACGAAGCTCAACAGCAATGACATTTACAGTTTTACAGTCAGAACATATTGTCCTGCCTCAAGAATTAGCAGAAGACTGTGACCTGTCAAGGGCATGTAGGCTGAACATTGTTATACCTTTATATAAAAAGGAGATGGGTCTGGTGGCTCACATCTCTAATCCTAGAACTTGGGAGGCTAAGGAAAGATGACTGCTGAGAGTTCAAGACCAGGCTAGGCTACACAGTGAATTCTGGTCTCATATAATGAAAATAAGACAAAGAACAGAAATGGGTCTATCAGTAGTATTAGCTACTCAAGAGGCCGAGGCAAGAAGATCGTAAATCCCAGGAGTTAGAGCCTAGCTTGGACAACGACAAAGAGTGAGAGTGTGGGTGAGGGTGAGGGTGAGGGCAGGAGGGAAGGAGGGAAGGAAGGAGGGCAGGAGGGACAGAGGGCAGGAAGGAAGGAGGGAAGGAAGGAGGGAAGGAGGGAAGGAGGGAGGGAAGGAGGGAAGGAGGGCGGGAGGGAAGGAGGGAAGGAGGGCAGGAAGGAAGGAGGGAAGGAAGGAGGGCAGGAGGGAAGGAGGGCAGGAGGGACGGAGGGCAGGAAGGAAGGGAGGAAGGAAGGAGGGAAGGAAGGAGGGCAGGAGGGACAGAGGGCAGGAAGGAAGGAGGGAAGGAAGGAGGGCAGGAGGGACAGAGGGCAGGAAGGAAGAAGGGAAGGAAGGAAGGAGGGCAGGAGGGAAGGAAGGAAGGAGGGAAGGAAGGCGGGCAGGAGGGCAGGAGGGCAAGAGGGCAGGAGGGACGGAGGGCAGGAAGGAAGGGAGGAAGGAAGGAGGGAAGGAAGGAGGGCAGAAGGGAAGGAGGGCAGGAGGGCAGGAGGAGGGAAGGAGGGCAGGAGGGCAGGAGGGACGGAGGGAAGCAGGGAAGGAAGGCCTGACCATAAGAATTGCTCATCTTTGTTCTTTTTTTTTTTTTTTTTTTTTTTTGAGACATTATGAACATCCCTCTCATAAAGACTCTTAGCTAAGATTGTCTTGGTTTGGAGGTGATGTCCAGAAAAAACAAGGACAGCCAAAGACAGATTGAAGAGCACTTGCCATTTTTGGTGCCTATTTTGTGCCAATCTGTGCTATGCACTACATGAACCATCTTAGTAAATCCTTAAAGGCACATGGAGATCTGCAGAATTTAGTGTTGTAGTGATCGGAAATGCCTCATACTTAGTGGAAAACTAAGTATGGGGAGCTCACCCAGATCACCTGCCTTTCTTCCCTGACACACCTCTTTGCAGGGAAACCATGGGAAGACATTTGAATGTTAACATTTTTGTCATATAAAGTCAACTGTTATCTGAACCCACAGTGACATTTAAGAAAATGACACTATCTTCTATCTGAAAAGAAACATTCTTTACCTTTTGACTAATGAGTACTGGAGCATCATTTAAGGATGAGGCCCAGTTTACAAAGTCAGTTACATCAACCATCTTGGCTCCTTTGAGAAGATTTTCTTTAAGTTGAAGTGCATATTTGCTGGTTCCTCCTCTTATGAATGAAACTACATCATCTATGATGTTATCACGGGTGATATTTACTGAGAAAAGAAGTAATACTTGAAGAAAGAAACATTTGCAGCTCTGTAGTCAGTTATCCAGATAACATTTCATAAACCTGTATTAATTCTTTTTAGTATAGTTTGTTTATTATTTATTTATTTATTTATTTATTTATTTATTTATTTATTTATTTATTTATTTATCTTTTTGAGACAGGATCTCTCCACAGCCCCAGCCAGCCTGGCGTTCTCTATGTAGACCAGGATGGCCTCGAACTCACAAAGATCCGCCTGCCTCTGCCCTCCCAAGTGTCGGGATTAAAGGTGTGTGCCACCGTGACAGCAACATCTATACTTTTAAAAAAGGCTATGCACTGATAAGCTGTAAAGGTTAGGCTTCTCTAGTCTAGTAGCAAGTTGATCTTGGAAGGTGATTTGGACCTTATCCTTTGTTAAAGGGCCATTAGCTCATTTAAAGCCTTGTTAAGATTAAGGGGAACAAGGAAACTTGTCCTCCAGACACTTTTCTACCAATGGCTTAATAAGTTGCCATAATAGATACACAAATGATGCTGTGCCTCCCTCATACAACAATGATACTGATGGGTATGTGTCCATAGGCCACTTGTGCTTATAGTGACTGAGAAATCACTGGAAAGACAAAATTGTTCTTAAGTATGTTTGCTTTTTCTAGCTAAAGAGGGTATATATACAGTAGAGTGCTGATCATGAGAAGCACTGCTCTTTGCTGCCTGCCCTTGCTTTCTGGTCAGCCCATACTCACCAACTCTACCATTGCCTCTCTTTATGCAATCACTTCGATTAACTCCTCCTGTTAATGAAGGTACATCCAACTTTTCAAGGAAGCGTAGAGAAAGATCCAGATTATACCCAAGGCACTTCTTTATATCATTCAGTTCAACACCTGTGTTATGGATTTATTTGAAAATTATTTGATACTATCTAGCAACATCACAAATAAATTCTAAACTTACTATTTTGTAGCAAATATGCGTAGGTTCATAGACATCATTACCAAATTCAGATATCATGTCTTCCTTACCTTGTTTTTGTATTAGATATAATCTATCCTTAAGAAAAATCATAACTAATCATAGTAACTCACAGCATAAATTAGCATATTAACTCAGTCACTTTGAGTCTACTTTATTACTTATTTATTTTTAGTTTTAGGAACAGGGTTTCTCTGTGATACCCAGGCTGGCCTCAATCTCTTGATCTCTAGCAATCCTCTTTCCTCAGCCTCCTAAGTAGCTGGGATTGCAGGCATATGCTACTGTCTGTGCCTGTCTGTTTTACTTTTTCCTTGAGAGAATTCAATGATTTTAGGCCAGGTAGTAGGATATAGCCTAAGTCGTCTCCTGTCTCTAGGGAACGCATGGATGATCCACCATGGTATCTTTCCCCCATGATTTTGAGTGTGACGAAAGCTTGGCTTCAACATCGCCTCAACTGAACTGACTGATTATCAAATGAAATGAATTTTCCAACTTAACATTTAATGTGTCACATTTATAGGATAACATTGATTCTTCCCTTCTAAGTCAAAATTTAAAAGTTTGTTCCCACTGATACTGAAGAATACATTGGAAAACAGTCATCACACATAAGTCTGCTAATTAAGAGGTAGGTTCTAGAAATTGCTTCTCATACTTTCTTTCACATTTTAAATAATATTTCACTAGAAGCAACATTCCCATTAATAGCTATTAAATTATAACATGTTTTGGTACATTTTTCTGTAATGCTGCTGAGTATTTTGGTAGCAAGTCAGGTTATTCAAATTGGAAATCGATGTGCTATTTGATAGGATGTTGGGTGCCAAAGGGCAGAACAGAGTTCTTTTAAAGGTGCAGATTATTAGATTTCTTCATTCTAAGAGTTCTAATAGTTCTCTAAGAGAACTATTGAGAAAAGGTAGTGAAAGGAGCCCTGTTTAGGCAGAGCCATATCTGTGGCTGGAATTCTATTTCTAGGCATACCTTTCTCTTTCATGGAAGCTTTATCCAAAACATATATCAGTTCATAGAGTCCTCCCAGAGACCCAGAGCTACTGTAGTGGGTTCCATAGGTTTCCAAGAATCCAAAATATTCTCCCTTTTCATAGGTAGATGGCAGAGCTTTTATATCATCCAGGAAAGTTGTTGTCAGCACGACATCCCGACTTCTCATCACAAATCTGCCTAGATGAACTATGCCTCTCACATGTAGAAACTGTTTTCCCTTTGTTGAAGAGCAGTTGGAGAAATAGGACTTTTATCACTCTTATTCAATGTCATAAAATCTACAGCATCCAGGGGAACAGTCGTTTAGAAGCCACAGAGAACTAGTGTCACAATGAGCAAACATAAAATACTATCACTAGCAGCTATTGGTGAAGAGGTACTGTGTTGGAACTCTCAGATATGGCCAGTCAGTGTGTCAAGTGGTAAAACCACTTTGAAGAACTGCCTGGAAGTTTCTCATACAGTTAAACATACATCTGCCCCATCAACAGCAACTCTACTCTTAAATACTTACCTAAGATGAGAAAACAATGTGTTCACAAAAGGACCTGTTTCAAAATTTCACAGCACCATTAATTAGAATAGCTTCAAGTTGGAAACACCCTACACATCCATCAACAGAGGACTTGATAGGGAAATCGTGGGGTATCCACATAAAAGGAGCCTCATCAGCAAAAAAGACAAACAAATGACTGACACATGCAACAAGAGATAATCTCAAATCCATGCTTAGGGAAAGAAGTTCTACATAATGGAATATATACTTCATGATCCTGCTTATAGGAACAGACAAAACTAAGATACCATAAGAGAAATCTAGTCAGTGGTTGCTCTCAGTTTTAGGGAACTGACTATTGAAGAGCATGATGGAGTTCTCTTGGGGTGCTAGAAATGTTCTACATCCTGTTTGATGATATAATATTTGATATTTGAAGATGTATGTTCTCTATCTTCTTTGTGGTTACAAAAATCTCAGTATAGACATAGGGAAATGAGTAAGGAATCCCAACCCAACCTAAGGAGCTTCAGGTAACTGATGGCTGCTGGGAAGGGAGAGAGACAGTCTCCTTCAGTGATGGGACTCTTGGTAGGTTGACCAGGCTCTAGTGGATGGACCCATGCTGAGGGACATGTGGGGACACAAATGAGACTCTATAGGCCATATTGTATATATAATGGAGTACACTGAATTGGGTATGGGGCAGTGGGCAAGGGTAAGGATGGGATGTGATCTAAATATTATCAAATTATATTGTATGAAAATAGTAAAAATTTGATTAAAAATTTAAAAATGTGTGCACAATAAAAATTCATGTAGCTATACATTTAAAAGTTTTGCATTTTATTACATGGAAATTATATTTTACTAAGTTGAGCTTAACATATTGACAATGGAAAGAAATGAATGCATTGTATATGCAAGGCTAAGTTTTCTCATAGTTTTGTAGATGAGAAAAGTAAACAAAAGACATCAAGTCATTTGCCACAAATCACACAGACAGCATCTTTCCTGAAAATGCAGGTCTTCACGCTCCCTGCTCCTTCCATTGTGCCCTCTCACTTGTCAGTGGCAGTGGTAGAACAGATAGTATATTAAATATTTTTATTTATTATTTTTATTTTATGTGTGGGGGTGTATTACATGCATGTATGTAAGTACACTCATGGAATGCAATGCCTGCAGAGGTCAAAGAGGGTGTTAGATCCACTGGAACTGGAGTTACAGATGGTTGTGAGCTACCATGTGGGTGCTGGGAATCGAACCCAGGTCCTCTGCAAGGCCAACCAGTGCTCTTAACAGCTAAGCCATCTCTCCAGCCCCAGATAGTATTTTAAATCATGGCTCTCAATCCAACCTAAATACTCAATAGTTAGATGTTCCCAAGACCAGAGATAATGGCTTAAACTTCCAGGTAAAACAGGGGCAGTGATGCTTGCGATTCAAACATGTACTTCATATTTGTGCTGCCTTAGCCTGTCCCAGGCAATGACTGCAATGGACACTATGATTCTGTAGATGGACCTTCTGAGGCTCTTCTGCTATCACTGCAGTTAACATGTGGCTGCATGGATGTTGAAGACATTTTTTCTTTTTTTAAAGATACATCTTAGTGTATAGGGACATCACACCAAGCTTTTTGTATTCTCAAAGCACGTTGCGTGCACAGTTTAATTTAGGAGATAAGTGAATATCCCCTCTCAAGAATCTTACAGGAACTCAGTTTATATATCATAAACCGTTATTAGTTCTCCATTTTCTGAGTTGTATAATAATTCTCACCAGGGTCTCAAATATGAACAAAATATATCAAGAGTTCTTTTTAATTCCTGCTAAAACTAGTAGATGTATCTTGGGATTTGTAGTAAAACAGATGTGATAGTCTTTAGCTCAGCTTATTTCAAAGGTAGGTCTTAGATAATTTCCATCATAATCGGCTGTTGTTTTTCTTCTTTTCTATTTATTTTTTTTCATTTTAAAACAACTAAAACCATTCTTTTGGCCTCACTGGCCTCCCCAGATGCTACCCATTTCCCCGCCCCTCATTAGAGACAAAGTTCTCTGGAAAAACGTCTATACTTTCTATTTCCAACTCTTCTCTTTCCAGTTTCTCTTAAATCTATTTGCATGTGTGGCGTGTGTGTGTGTGTGTGTGTGTGTGTGTGTGTGTGTGAATTGAACACAGGGCCTTGATATGCTATGCAGACATTCTACCACTGTGCTGTATCCACAGTAGCTTGCTTCTAATCCATGCATGCTGCTGCCGTCATGAAGGTTTTGACTTCTCAGGTCAGGGTAAGCAATGACCTCATACCCCTAAGGTCAGTGACTACTGCCCTCTTTGATTTTTTAGCACATTTGACACAGTTCCTTGCTCTTCTCTTCTTGGTCGAGTTTTGTGTCTGGTTCTGGAAGGCAGTGCTTCTCAAAGTACAGAATATGAAGAGACTATCTGGGGAATTTTGTTAACATGCAGTTCTGACCTAGCAGGTCTGGGTGGGATCCAAGGTCCTAGGTCCCAAAGATGTAAGTGCTGCTGATCCACAGATCATACTGAGTGCAAGGTTTAAGGACATTACACCAATCACTTCCTGCTTTCTTTTGTTGGGTTTTCTTTTTTCCAAAATGCATTCTAACTCTATTGTTGGTCCCACAAAGCTCTATGATTTTAAACAACACCTACATGTCAAAAACTCTTAAATTTATCTCTTAAGTGCAGATTTCTTCTCCAAACTCCAGACTTATAATGCCCACTTCTTACCTGGCATCCCCAATTGAACATTTAACACATCACACTCAACATAAGTAGTACTTAACTTTAGTCTTCCCCTCAACCTACTTTGCCTGAAAAGTTCTTCATCAGCAACTTCATTCTACAAATAGCTTAGGCCCCAACCTTGGAATCAGGTTTGTTGGGAACTATTCTGTCTAAACTGCCACCATGCCAGCTTTGATTCCTGCAGTGCCTTTTAACTATTCTTGCCTTTGCTCTTAGCATTGCTAATCTTTTCCCAACAAAGTACCCCAAACCGACCATTTTAAATGTAATAAAGAATGTTGGGGCTAGAGAGATGGTTCAGTGCTTCAAAGCACCTCCTGCTCTTGCAGAGGACCTGGGTTCAGTTACTAGCACCCACATGGAGGTTAACATCTGTCCATAACTCCAGTTCCAAGGGATCTGACACCCACTTCTAACCTCTGGTGGGTATTGCATGGCATGGGTACACTTACATATATGCAGGCAATACACTCATACACATAAATAAAATAATAAAATAAAGATAAAAATAATAAATAAAATACTGAGAATGTTGGGCTGGAGAGATTGCTCAGTGGTTAAGAGCACTGACTGCTCTTGCAGAGGACCCAGATTTGATTCCCAGCACCCACATGGCAGCTAACAACTGCCTGTAACTCCAGTTCCAGGGGAATCAGACACCCTCTTCTGACACCCCCATGCATTGCACGGCACAGGTGCACTTACATGCAAGCAAAACACATATACATAAAATGAAAATAAATAAATAAAGTATTTTTTAAAATATTAAGAATGTCAATAATTCAACCAAGACCCTTTGGTGATGTCCCTCAGGGAGGGTAAGCCACCCTTAACAGTGGGTTTTGAGGTCCTGCATGATCTGATTAATATGCCCTCTTGTATCCGTTCTCCTGGTTCAGTGTGACAGAGTTATCCCATCAGATTCCTCCTACCTTGGAAACCTGACGTTAATAGTTCCTTCTTCATATATACCATTCCAAATTCAGCTGCCTAGCGACGTCTCATTTAAATTTTTGGTGAACTCTCATCTTCTCAATGAAGCCCATCCTGAGCTTTTATTTTTTATCACTGCCATTTGCCAACCATTCCCAATTTCATTAGGTTTCTCTGCCTTTCCTTTTCCCTATAGCACTTATCAATCTCTAAACAGCCACCCTTCTTTGCTATCATATTTATTGTTTTTGCCTGACTTCCTCTCAGCTATGTGCATATAAAATTCTTTGTTGGCTTAATTCACAAAAGTATTCTAAGGACCTAGATTAGTGCCTGGCCACATGGTGAATCTACAATTAAATATGCATTAAACGAGTTAAAGGATTTCCAACTAGGTCTACAATTAAATATGCATTGAATGAATTAAAGGATTTCCAACTTTGGGTGAGTAAGCATGTGACTATAAGGGCAATGTACAGACTCTCACAAACTATACAAGTAAATCCAATATAAAAATGAAAAGTGATTTACTATTTTTAATGTGAGAGAAAATGTCTAAATAGGTGGCAGCGATACCAGAAAAGCAAGAATGAACACTTTATTAGCACCGCATTGGTGCCTCAAAGAAATACATTATATTTAATACTTATTCCAAAGGTGACTAAATGAACTTTGAAATCTAGCTTGAATATAAAAACAGACATATTTACAAAGTCTCAGACTGAACGTACGATTTGAGAGTAAGCAGACCAACTCCATGTGTGGTATGTACAAACTTATAACACCAGCGCTTCAGATACAGGCTTTGTAATAAGTACGGAGTCACCATTCTAAAATATTTTGCAATAAATAAGAAAAATTCCTCAGTTTAATTCTTCATTGTATTAATAACTGTGATAACTGTTAAATGGGATGGTATGCAGACTCAGCCTCAGTCAAAAAACATGCTCTGAATTCATAGAACACATACTCTATTTCTAAACACCAAACATCTGACCTATTGACTACTGCTTAATAGCTCATTGACATTTTCTGTTCCTGTTCTAGCTACTTGCATGAAGATTTACAGTATCTTATTTTATTTTTTTCCCTTATGAACTTTTTTTTTTTTGAGACAGGGTCTCCCTGCACCCCAGCTAGCCTGGAACTCACTATGTAGACCAGGCTGGCCTCAATCTCACAGAGATCTGCCTGCCTCTGCCTCTCAAGTGCTGGAAGTAAAGGCGTGCGCCACCATAACTGCTTCCCTTATGAGCTTTATTTATTCTAAATGTTTAACTTAAAGGGAGGGTCAGTTAGTTGTAATATACTTTATCAGATTCTCTGTATTAGTTATTTGATCTTACCTTCTGTGAAGAATGTGTCAATAGTCGGTGAAAACTTTCATTTTTAAAATAGGAAAATTGAAAATTAAGTGAGGACTTTTCAGGATCTGATGAATTTGTTTTCCCAGAGTGTTCTTCAACTGCATCTGTATTTGCTTCAGTGGCTGTAAATTTTAGAGCTAAATTTGCATTAAAACTTGATGTCTTCTCTTGGAATATATGTTTGAACATTTGAATGTGTTCTTCATAATTTTCTGTTCTGAAGTTTTTATCAACCTTGGTCTAAAATTGTATATAAAAATAGTTGTTAAAAACAAATGCACATCAGGCAATTATTTAAAAAAACACTAAAGGAGTTTAAAACAAAGGTGCTCGAGTCAGATTTCTGTGGTTCAAATATAGAGCTTTGTTTCTGTTCTTGTGATAAAATACCCTCACAGAAAACTCCTAGAAATTAACACGTTCAGTAAAGTGGCAGAATACAAAATTAACCTACAAAAGTCTACAGACATTTCTATACACCAATAACAAGCAATCAGAGAAAGAGCACATGGAAACACTCCCCTTCACAATAGCTGCAAAGAAAATAAAATATCTCAGAATAAACCTGACAAAAGACATTAAAGAGCTCTACAATGAAAATATTAAATCTTTAAAAAAAGAGATTGAGGAAGACATCAGAAGATGGAAGGACCTCCCATGCTCATGGATTGGAAAAATTAATTTTTGGAAAATGACCATCCCCTATATAGATGGTCATATGTAGATTCAATGCAATGCCAATCAAAATCCCCATGACATTTTTCACAGAACTGGAAAAAACTATTGTAAGATTCCTATGGAGGCACAAAAGATCTCGGACAGCCAAAACATCCCTGAGCACTAAGAGCAATGCCGGGGGGATTACTATACCAGATTTTGAACTGTATTAGAGAGTTATAGTCATAAAAATAACATTGTACTGGCACAAAAATAGACCCATAGATCAATGGAACAAAATTGAAGACCCAAATATGAGTACATGTAATTTCA